ATGTCCTGCTCTTAATTAAATGCATAGTTGAGCCAAAAATAGATTTAAGAACAGGATGTGGCTTTTAAAAGTGTGAGAAAGTATTTCAAATAGAATAATTAATTAGGAAGAAGTTTTATAGCAGAGAAACTAACATAAAAAGATTAATTGAAGCTTTTTATGTTACATATATATATATATGCAGTCTCTGGCCAAATTATTAGACACACTATAAGATTTTATGCAAAATCCTTATTATCAGAGGATATTATACAGCATTATTTATTTTATATGGCTGAAACTGGTTTATACTTTGCTTGTCTTCGTGCATTAATTGGCTAACATTGAAAAGCAATACGTTAAAAATAAATACAAATAGAAAGTATATAAAAAAATTCTGAATAAAAACCCATTATATGTATGTATAAATATAAAAGAATTGCAGATAAACTTGTGCAAAACATGCAATTGTTAAAACACTATGCATCTAATTATTATAATACACTAATATAATAAATATTCCATATTTATATAATATCTAGTCTAATTTATTCAATCGAATTTAACCAATTGATACACGAACGTAAACAAGTGCAAACTGGTTTCTGTCTCGTAAAAACAATAAAGCTGTATAGTATCACCTGATAATTAAGATTTTACATAGAATCTTATAGTGCGTCTAATAATTTGACCAGGTACTGGACATACAGGCCACAAATTAACTGGGGTTCATTGATCCAGGACTTCAAAATTTATCTGAAGTGATTTTTTTATTTTATTTTAACTTTTATGTTTTGTTCTAAGGTGGTATTGTCACAAAATATTTCATCATAATTGTGAACATTACACATTTTCAATATTATGATTTTTAATTTAAATTCTCTTTTTTTAACAAAAAAATTGTAATGGAGATTAGTAAATTGGCCAGTGAAAATGTGTATAACCTATCTTTTAATCACTGGCAATTTGGACCAGTTTTTTTAATAAATAAAAGTCTCATGTTAATCTTCTAGTTATAAAATTCTTTGAATTCTTGTAGGCTTGCTTAAATGCAATGGATGCCGGTGCAAGAGAAGCTTTGCAAGATGTTGTGACCAAAGTTTTAAAGAAGGTTGCAAGCCAACCTGAGCCAAAGGAAGAAGATTTAGATGATACTTTGCTTACCTGACAAAATTTTAAACCCCTAGGATTAAAGACATTTTTTTTCATTCAAATGAAGGGCAGACCAAAATTACCTGCTCAGCAATATCATTACAACAAAGACTTTGAATTTAATTCCAATAATAAAATTTTAAAATTATCTGTGTCTGATTCTCAATGTTATTGTAAAGTTTTCTTTTACATTCCAAAGAAAATCTTTTTCAAAACTGTAGAAGAATTTTGGTAATAATATTATATGACACTAAAGAACATAAACAGCAAAATATATTTTATTTAAGTGTTAACAGCAGTATAAAAAATATATAACAACTATGTATAAAGTACTCATTCTACATAACATAAATATTTGAATAAAATAAAGATTTTCACCACAGTAACTTAAATGATTGATTATTGGAAACCCATTGATCATCAACTTCAGAAAGGATTTCAGGTCTGTTCCTTTCAAAATAATCAACATTACCCTCAGCATCAATAGTAATTACGGTGTGACATCTGAAAAAATTAGAGATGTAATGAATAGTGGTTTGGCCAAAGACCAAATAGCAATTTTTTTTTACGTATTTATAAATGTGTTTAATCATTATTAAAAATAAGCTGAAGTCTAAAAAGAGAAAAAAAATCCTTTTAATTCTTAAAGAAAACTTTAAAAAATGCTACGCTAATCATAAAGGCGAAACAGAAAAATCAATCTTAAAGCTGAACATCTCAGTAAGAGGAAAGAATAAAGTCTTAATAGAAACCCTTTAAATTACAGCATCATAAAAACGTTAATAAAACAATTTTTCATTGTTTCAAATATTTCATGTTTCTTAATTATTTTCCTCACTAAATGATAAACAGTTAAAAAATTAAGAGAAAATGTATTAATATTTTCTCTTAAGAGAAAATATTAATACATTTTCAACATTGTGCAAATTCTAGTTCTAATATTTAAATTTTATTTAAATAAAATAAGAATTTTTATATGTAAATGTGATCGATCATTTCTTGAAACTTCTGGACCTTGGATTTCCAGATCGTGGTTAGCGAAAGATCCAGATTTTTCCAGAGCACAATCACTTCTGCCTGTATAAAATCCTGAAGAGGAGAAAAAATTTATCTTACATGAAGTTCAGTTCAAATACCTTACTGGTCCTGCCCAGTAGAAAAATACAAAAAAATAATTCTAAAATGTGCATAATCTACCAAGTGTAAAAAATATGTTTTTGAAACATCACAACTGGTTCAATACAATTTTAAAGTTCTTAAATACATCATTATTTCCACAATGGCAAACATATGAGTCGCTTTATGTTCAGTATTTTGAATAAATCAAAAATTAGGGAATATTTAATCAAATCTCTCAGTCTTTGAGCCTTTTTCAAATAACTTTTAACTTTCATTCCAATATAGTTGTCTTTTTGATTTTTTAGAATAGATAAGTAGTCTTACCTGCTACCATAATTAGCTCCTGGGATGGATACAAATATAGAATTTAATTTTTCCAAAAAATCTCTAGTTTTTCCCTTTCCTTGTTTTCTCATCATGTCATCAACGGGATATCTGAGATTATACACAAACATTTCACTCATTGAAAACTAAATAATTTTGTGTAAAAAGAACAAATAAACTAAGAATGAAACAACAAGTTGGCTATATTTGAAACAGAATAGAATTAATTTTTGAATTATAAATTTGGCTCTTTTTTCTTAACAATGGATGTATCACTTCGAAAGAGTAATAATCGTTTAAATTAAAATCACTACTACTCCTATTCAACCTGTGTTAAAATTGCCAACTTAAGTTTCTCTCTTGAGAAATTAGTGAATCTACTTTTAAAAAAATTCCATTTTTGTTTAAAGCTTCTAATCTTTTATAATGCTTTAAAGTGCATTTTTTTCTCTTCTAAATTTAAAATTTTTGCTTTTGGGTGGAAATTTTTTTTGTTAATACACTTAAAAAAATAATTGTATCCATATTAAAATGAGAACTAATTTGAAAATTAAGCCATTGAAGCATAAAAAAAAAAAAAAAAAAAGTATTCTAGCAACACAATTAAGACCTTAACTTGATCATTGTGACATAAATGAAAGAGGAAATGCAAAATTGCATTAAAATGAATTGAGTCCCATAATAAAAATATTATATAATTACTCAATACTACTATCAGACTTATAAAGTGTCTTTATAAGGTTATAAATGCAGATAATAATAAAGATATCCTAAATTGCCAAACTGTAATGACTCAGTTGTTTAATAAATAAACAACAAAATTTTTTTTCTTCCAAGTCATAATATATAAGCTAGTCGCAAAATAAAATAAGAGGTTTATAACTTCAAAACTTTTTGAAAAGCATATTTTAAAGTTGGTAGAGATTTTTGAGCAATTTAAATTTTTACAGGTTTGTATGCTAAGAAATATTTAATTTCACAAACATTAAATTAAAAAATTTTTAAAAGTTTTTTTTTTTAGCTGCAATAGTACTATTGTACTACTTATATTTTAACAAACTAATTTTAATGTTTTATTTAAATTTTCTATCTAGTTATAAGCTAGGATTTATTTTAAAAGTAAAATTATATGTAAAGATATAATAAACTTTTTATATGGTTTAAAAGTTTTTTTTTGTAAAATTTCTTTTTATAAGGTGAGCATTCTTATTATTAACTCACTTTGGCAGCTTTGATTCCTAGCTGTGTATTTCAATTAACTAGTTTTAGCCACTTATTTAATACATTATCTATCATTACCTTGTATTATCACGCAGTAAGCTGAATAAATCTTCTACCAATGTGTCTTTGGTGGCAACTGAAGTCTTTCCATTTATTATTTGGCTAAATTTTTTTTTGGCCTCCAAGACCTTTGGCCAATAAATTTCTAGTGGGTTAATGCTATTACCAAATGCATGTACACCTAAAAAAGTTAAAATTAAATGCAAAACTTTATGTATTGAAGTATTTTTTCAACAGGCAGTCACAAAAAATGTAATACAAGTTTCAACAGCAAGAATCAAACACATTTAAATAGTTAAAATTCCTTAAATGAGAATTTTAAATAAAATAAAAATATTGCCAATACATTTCAACTTTTCTTTTTGATTGATATCAGATTTTCCTTTAATAACAGCTAAGTTCAAATAAGTATTATAGATTGCATACCAAATATAAGAAATTGCAAAACATAATAAAGCACTAAAATATGAAAGTAAATTCAGACCTTTAAATTCAAATAAATAAAACATCTTTTCATTTAAAAAATTAACTTACAGAAAAAAGTTAATACCAAAATAAGAGAGAGTTTACAAGACATTAAATAAATTTGGAAAAAAACGGCAGTACAATGTATTCTAATTAGAAAGCGTTTACCAAAGAACCTTTCTGCGTTATTAAAAAACTTTACACGATAAATTAATGTTCAGTATTTAAAGACAATATAATATGTTCCTAAATCTAAAAATGCGAAGGCTTTTAAAAATTAATTAACATATTTTAAACAACAGCTAACATGTTTTTATACTTAGCTATGTCCTTCCACTAAGCTTTTGAGTTAAATATTAATATACAGTTGAAAAAGAAAATATTTTTAAAAAAAGTTGTAAATAAGTACAAACTGTCCCAAAAATAGACCAGCAATTTGAAAATATTAAAAAAACGCCAAAGGAGATTAGTTTGGATTTAGCTAAGGAAACCAGCGTTCAATTCTCACGTTTTTAAAGTAAGTTAAGTCCCGCAAAAGACTGATCGTAAAGTCACGGTTTCCAGTTGAACACCGACTGCGGTCAGTAAGCAGATGGGTGACCACTTTAATCAGCCTGCGTATGGACCGAGGGTGTGCGGTATCGGTCCTCGTTAAACTGTTCTATTGTAAAGTGTTAGACTTTGCAAGCAGGTCGTGTGGCTACCAAAGCTGGTAAACCATCCCCTCTGCAGAGGATCAAAATTGCGTTGGTATGTCTCCGGATCATCCTCAGGGATGTTTCCCAGACCTTTGCCAGTAGCCCATTGTGCAGCTCTAGTGCGAAGTAAATAAAATATCTACCTGCCTTAAAGTAAGTTTCACAATTTATGAAAAGATGGTGCCTCTAATTAAAAAGATACAAAACAATGTTGTTACTCATCCCCAACTTAAATCAGAATTCTGATGCATCGCCTAAAACGAAAGTCATTATATCGACCTGCCGAAATATGCATTATTTCTCCAGGCCTAACTCGGAGAGAAGTACTAGAAAATCCTGATCAGGTTTATCATATATTTTCAGATAATTTTTTAGGAATGGATGACACTTTTACTGTCAGACAAAATCCAAATACTACTATAACTATAGTAAGGGCAAACTCAAGAACCCTCCCTATAGCAATAATTTCTGACCTAAAAAACTGAGCAAAAGTCAGGGTTACGGATTCTAAATTCCGCGATGTTGCTGATGAATACACCACTCCACGCAAAACAATGTTTTTAAAATAACTGTCGATTTTACCAACAATGTGGTGCAATCCAAATACAAAATTAACAAATGCTGTTGCGAGTATTTCATTTGTAATGGCCAGATATGTAACAAAAAATATTATTTTAAAATGCTTTCAGTGTATCTGTTGATGAATTTAGCAACAAATTTTAGTTTGATGAGAATAAAATTTTCTGGTTTCCAAAAGAATGCAGCATTTTCATTTATTTATTTTGTATCTCCTTCAATTTTTCTTTGGTTGATTTTTCTAACCATTGATCATTTCTAGATCATCTGGGACAATGTGGAAAAATTAAACATTTATTTGACCCAACTGAGACACCAGTGTTTCTTTTATATGTATTTTTCCCCTGAAATTGCAATTAGATGCAAAGATATATTTTTGTATTTTTTTTAACTATAAAAAACAGTCTAATAGTTAACTGATAAAAGTCTGTTAGATTATTGGAATAATATTTGTGCTAAAATCTAAAATCCAAGAAAAGTATATTCTGAAAAAGTTTCTCTTCTTTTTTCATTCATAATCTAAAATTTATCAATAGTTGATTTTGTAAATTAAAGAAATTTCAATGATGAATAAATATTTCTCTTAGATTTAAATATAAGTGAAAACTTTAAAAATGATTTTAACACAGAAAAAGACATTAGTGTTTCCTACCTGTAGCCATAAAATGTTAAATAACCATAATTATAAAAAATGTAAAAAACCGTAAAATAAAATGGAAATTAATGAAAAATGTAGATGACCCTCATAACAAAAATGCTAAATATAATATTTTTCATTCAACCTAAATTAATACGAAATAGTGAGAAAAAAATATGGAAAACATGTTTAATAAAAATTCTGCATCAAAGAGTTAAAGCTTGTTAATAACTAAAATATAATAAAAATTCAAAATAACTTTAATATAATTTAAATATTTAGAATACCTGGTTCAATCAATATTGGTTGGGATGATGAATAATGGTTACTGTAACAGCAGATTTTTGGCATGTTTCTGGAACTGTAAATTACAATTCATTAAAAATAAATTCAAATGGAAATTTAAAAATATAGACAATTATTTAAATGGTCAAAGAATAACCTATAATCCATAGTAACTAAGAAAAACTCATTATAGTCTTCCCCTTGTGAGCAGATATCTTTAAGGTAACTAATTGAATCCTTATCATCAGCAACATAATCAACTACTAAGAAACCTATAAAATAAATCCTTAATAAGTAAAACATAAAAAAATCTGCAAATTAATTATAACTACGTTTTAAGTATGCATAATTATAATTGTCATATAATAGTTTTATCATGAAATTCCAACAAAATAATATGCTACAGAAAGCATTTTAAATTAATAAATTATTTCTAAAGCATTTTAAATTAATAGACTAAATGAGTATGCTATAATGTATAATAAGTATGCTACAATATATAATAAGTATGCTATAATGAGCATAATCATAGACATGACGTTTTACTATGAAATAAAAAGTTATGAAAGGAAAAAAAACACTGTTTCATATTTTATAAAAAATATTATGAAAATTCATCTTTAACTGCAATCTTGCAGGACAAATAACCAATATAATAATACTTTATCAATTGAAACATTCACAAAATTTTTATTTAACATTTATTTGTTTTCCCAGATGTTGATTTGCTACAAATAAAAATTCTGTTTAAATTGTAGCAGCAGTCATATTTTATGAATTTAGTATTTCTGAATTCCCTCTAAATAGATAACATTATTTTTACAAGAAAACATGCATTATTTTATAAGTAAAATACTGAAAGGTATTTAAAAACAAAATAATTTCTGTTTGTTTGTTACAACAGCATTGTTTTAATCATAATAATTCAAAGAATAACAATAGTCAGGAAATATTTTAGCAATTACCTCTTCCTTTCTTATTTGGTAGTATTTCTTCGTCTGGCTGTAAAATATTGAGAAGAGCGGCAATTTTTCCAGTTTTACTCATGGCCAGCCAGGTACCACCTTCTTTTCCAGGTTCCATATCCCTACCTTTTACAAAAATAATTTTTTTTAATAAAACTTAATTCTTAAATAATATTTCCTTAAGTAAAAAACTAACTGGATTTTAAAATATCTTCAATTATAAACAAAAATTCAGCAAAAAGATGAATATAAATAGTGGGGAAAAAAAACAAGATACATAAATTTAAAAAAAATATTTCAATGACACAAATTTTAGAATAATAAAAATTTTAATGAATAATTTGTCAGTCATTTAGTGTTAAATAAATTTTGATAACACAGTGAAACCTACAGGAAAGACCACTTCTGCGTAAGCGACCACATCTATTTATGACTAATTTTGGGAAGCAGGGAATTTTTTCCTTACACCTTGTGTTGAAGGAAACTTTAAGGAGAGACCATCAAAACCTCTCCCAGCGACCAGGAAAAACCTCAGCACCAAATGAAGAAAAGATCAAATAAGAAAACATAATAAATTATCAAAACAAAAAAATATTAATAAGTAGAGTCAAATGCATTCAAAATTTTGTGAGTGGCTCTCATTTAGAGAGCTCTTTTGACGATTTTCGAAAAAGATTGACAACCTGATGTAGCAGTCAGAGTGAACTAAAGATGATGCTATCAATGATTTATTTTTAAAGTTAAATTAGAAAAAAAAAAGCGTTTTAAGCAAACTTCTTACTTTTTAAAGCTAATTTTTCTCATATGAAATTAAATGCAAACTTAAAGTAAAACATAATTGTTTATTAATTTAAAATAGTTCTATAATTCATAATTGGTAAAATTGTTTTTACTCATAAATAGAGGTCATTTTATTGATGCAAAGTTTTGTTAATCGATCCGATTTTCAATATGCTAACACAAGTGACATTTCTGCACTAAGAGAATGCCACTGACTAAAATCGTTACAAAAAATCGTGTATCTTCGATAAAATGTTGAAGTTAACGTTTTGAAGTAACCTCGATTAACAACAATTTCACCGTGTAACAGAGAGTGATCGTTTTCAAGAGGTTTCACTGTATTAAAATAATCATTATATATTATTAATTAATGTGAGAAGTAAAGAACCAAGATTACCAGCATTATGGTATGAAATGTTAGAAAGAGAAAAATCATGTCTAATTTGCCGAATCAATAAACAAATACATAAATACAATTTAAAAAGTTTTACATAGAAGATAAACAAAATAATACAAGCATCTATAATATACAATGGTTTTAATAAAAATTAGAATGACTTATTATATAAAGATCATTATAGAACTAGTTTGTTCAATAAGAAATATTCCATTTCTTATTTTATTTATTCATTTAAAAAAGATTACACTAATCATTTGCAAATAATGGTAAATTAAACATTTATCAAATTTTACTAAATAATTTAAATGTTTGCAAGAATTTTAAAAAATCAAAACATATAGTGAGTTGAATGATATATTGTCATGAAAACAAGGGAATGAAGACAAAAGTAATATTTTAAAGTATCCAATCAAATTTTTTTCCCTGTCAATATTCAAAGTTTTATCCATTAGCTTTCAAAACCTCATTAAACTTTTGTTCTTCAAACTTTAGAATTGAAGTTTTATAGTGGAACCTCAATATTAGGTTTTCTGTCAGACTAGCATTAAAAAGGTCACAATCAGCCAATAATACCCATAGGTGTATCAAATACAACAATATTGCAATCATAAATGATAACTATTATAAATGAATAAGAAAATATTGCAATCATAATTGAAAACATAACAAATCAAAAATGCAAAGTGAATATTGTATATACTGATAATTATTGAATAAGAGCGCATTGTGAGCGTTGATAAATTTTATTTTGGTTAAAAAAAATATTAATAAAGGTAAAATTAACGTTTGTTAGTTAAATTGGAAAAACACTGCGGTATATTCCTAAATATTGGTAATTTTGACAACACATTGCAATATTAAAATTGGGTATTTATTGGTAGCTAGGACCAATGCTCATATTGGCAACAACAACTCAGAAAAGCATTGCCAACACTTGGAAACTAAAACCATTAAGTACTACAATCTTAAAAAAACAAATGATGATACCTCCAATTACATTAGGAAAATTCTCCCAAAACTCTGCTAGTTTGGTCGGACGATTGTAAATTTCATCTCGAACACTTGCCAGAATTAAATATAATTCACCTGTTTTAGCATCTGGATTCACATAAAAAAGTAGCAAACACATCTACAAAAAAAATAGAGAGAAGAAAATTTAGTCAAAAACGAAACTAGTCGAAAACAATGTTTAACAATAGTGGTTCCACATGGAAAACTAAAAATATTTTTTAATAATTAAATAATTTTTATAACATTATTAATAATGTCAAAGTATATAAAGATGGAATATAATGATAAACAGAAAATTATTCAAAGATAAATTTTGACTTTATCTACCTACACTTTCTAACGAAAAATGAAGACTAGTTTAAGAATAAATTTTGGAGAGGCAACTGATTTTTACCCTCACAAAATCAAGCCTCAAATGTATAATACCATAAACAGTTTTTTAGGTACTTATCAGTTATAGGGAGTGCAAAGTCAACTTTGCCAATACTAAGCAGTGGTCTGCCCAGGCCAAATTTACTACCGTTTAGCGGTACCTTCACAAATTCAACTTTAGGAAAAAAGGTAGTTTCACAAAATATTTTTTGTTAAAATTTTATTTTTGCATTCTGCAAGAAACGATAAATTCATATTTTTACCATAGCTTTGTGTTGATTTTTTTAAATATAATTTTTAATTTTCACAAAATAGGTACCTCTCAGAAAAACCTAGACAAACCCCTACTAAGCAACAATCCTGAATTCTGGTTTAACATACGTACTAGCTATCAAGGGCAGGAAAATGCTAAAATATTTGTAGGTCAAATAAAATAATTCTTTAAGAAACAAATTATTTTAAGGAAAATTACCATACTAAATTAAAAAAATAAATAATCCAGTTAACTTGAAATTCTGACACATAATGATTAATAATACTCATACAACTTATTTTATATCACATATTATTTGTGAAAGATTACGATTTTGTTTAAAACTGCTTTATTCCAGTTGAATTAAACTTTTTTCTTTCATAAAACAATTTCAAAAGAAATAAGAATAATTTGAATTGTAAAAATGCAAGAATAATTTGTTTTAAAACATCTTTTTTTTAAAAAACAAAATTGCCAAAACTAATCAATAAGTTAATTTTGAACTTCCATTTTTTTTTATAAAAACAATTAAAATTTATGTACTTACAATTTGCATACTTAACAAAATTAATTTTATTCATGTGATTAAAATTTTACATGCACTTATAACTATTTTTTATGATTTTTTTTTGTCTGCAGCCCTCATCTTAGGTAAGGTTACTCTTGCGAGATTTTTAGAAAATTGAAGTCAATTTGTGTTGTTTGTCCTGGTTGAAAATAATATACTGACGACATATATTCAATCCTGTAAAAATGTCATGGAGTCTAATACAAAAAGAGATCAACTATAATAAGAAATTGGTATAGATTTGGGAGGCATCTCTACCCACTTTTCAGGGTGTTTTTCAATCCTCAACTTCGGCAATAGATAATGATTTGGTGTGTATTAGAATATAGTCAACATGGAGATTTAACTGATTGCCCAGATGGAAGATAATTGACATAATGAATGTTAGTATTTTTTTGTTTTCATACCTAACATTTTCTAAACTCTATAACTAAACTCAGTGGCATGACAGCCCATAGAGGGCCAAGGCCTACTGTGCCCATTTCAGTTTTCTTGACCTTGGACTCTGGGGTGCAGGAGCAGATGTTCCAGTCAGGTGGTCAGCCGAACGCGAAAAACCCAGTGCTTAGTTTCCAAGCATGCTTGGTACTCATTTATCGACCCACTGAAGGGATGAAAGACTGCTTGCCCGGCCCGAGGATCGAACCAGGGACCTGTGACAAGACAGCGCGAAGCGCTACCACTCAGCCACCGGGCGTCCTCACATTTTCTACAGGAATTTAATTATTAAATTTTGCGTTTAACCCCTTAACTGCCGCGGGCGTATATATACGTCTCGGCCAGACGATGCGTTAACTGCCGCAGGCGTATATATACGCTTTCCCGAAGTACGATGCTTTGCATTGCGCTGCTATAAATGGAACTACACCCCCTACTTCAGAATGCAGTAAAATGGCCTTGAAAGTGTTTGCTTTGCGAGTGTATTACTAATTTCGGAGGGGAGGGGAATGGGAAAAGGATGTTATGGAAAAGTGATATCGTATTAATCGCTCGTGTGTATTTATTTGAGTAAGGTCGGGTTTATTCTTTTTCCGCTTTTGTTTCCCGTATGTATTTGGTGCTTTTTATTCTTTCCATCAACATCTTCAAAGAAAAATGCTTCGCGAAAATGTGCTGTTTGTTCAACAAAAAAAATTCGTCGTGAATCCCGCTATCAGTGCAATGGATGTGATGTTGGTTTATGTGTCCACCATGTTTCAGGATTTATCATACAACAGCTAAGTTTTGACATCTTTTATATTGTATTTTTATTATTTAATTTAAATTTTGTATTTTCTTTCTTTCCTTGTCTTGTAAAATTAAACTGTTTTTAAATTGCAAAGCGTGCATCATTTTCCCTACCAAAACACCGTGTAAGAAAGTGCACTTGAGCGAAAAACGGTGGCACTGGGGAGTTAATCACGTTAATTTTACTCGGCAGTTAAAGGGTTAAAATTGAATTTAGATTGATGTTAGTGATGAACTTATAAAAATTTTGAAAGATTTTACATTGCAATTTTTTATTAATTGCAGATTGTTTACAAATCTGTGACCTAGGAGTAATGATTTGCTTAATGATCTGCAGTTGTTTTTTTGATAATTTATGTAATGTAACATGTTTGCTACAGAAAATTTATCAAAAATGGGTGCATGTTCATTACAAACCAGTTGCCCAAGAGTAATTATTCTTCATAGATCTGCAAGAATTTTAAATTTATGTAATGTTAAAATAGATGGTTTTCTTTTAAGGTTTAGGGCTGATGTTTTTAAGTCAAGTGCCAATATTTTTTTAAGGTTGTTTTGTAAAATTGATGTAATGCAAGTGAACCTTAAATTTCGTAGGGTAGCAATATTTGATTCAATTTTCAGTATTGGGTGCAGACACATAACAAAATAGTTACCTGGCAGCTAACCTTTATTATAGATCTAATATTATTTATAAAATGCATGCTTAATATGGCAGCAAAACAAGTGAACTTCGAATTTAATAGGTTTGCAATATTTGATTTCTTTTTCGACATGTGGCAAAACTGCACCAATAACAATACGAAAATGATGGTAGGTGTGAAAAAAAATCCCTAGACAGCAGGTACAGATGCTTGACAAATCTGTTCCAAGAATTTTAATATTCCATGTAATGTAAATCCTCTAGTTCATTTTTTTTTAATATTAAGAATTTTTAAACATTAATTTTGTGTTTAGAACCATGATCGATTACAGTATGGTTTCATTTTTTTCATCGTCAAATGAGTTCAAGCTCGGTGAAGTTAGTTATGATAATATGGATGAAATATAGGCGGCGTTCCATAACAATTTATTACAAACAATAGATTCAGTAAAAACTACAAAAAAATAATAAATAATTAAACGAGAATAGAAAACATACAGGAAAGAGGGGGACAAATAAATGCAATAAGATAAATTGGAGAAAAAAAATGCCTTATAATTATTTTCGTGCTAATGAAGACTACATATTTAAACAACACAATTAGTTAAAAGCAGTAAAGTTACATGGACAGAGAAATAAAAACATTAATTTTTTCTAATAAAATATACTTAAAAATAAAATTACATCTTAGAAATAGTTTTGTTTCAATATAAATAAATCTAAGCAAAATTGAAGTCACTGAATTTACTTGTTGACAAAAAACAGACAACGTTTCCTCTGACTATTTCTGCTCATTTTAAACTCCTCTGACGGCAATTGTTCCAAAGACAAATCTTCGTTAAAATTCAAGAAAGAGAAAATACAAGTAAGTTAAAAAAATTTCATTTGAAAATCAACTTATGTTATTTGCTTTTGAAAATGATAATAATTACTACTTTTTCTTAATAATTACTATTAGATTTTGAAAAACTATTGAATGGCAACTTATGTTATTTGAAAAATAGTTTTTGTTTATTTATTGTCTGGTCTGCTGGTCCGTATGTGTCAAATTGTCTTTTCCTACAGTTAATTATTTTTAATATCCGCATGACATTAATGTTATTTGCTTTGTATTAACTTATTATCATATCTTAATTATTCAATACTGCTTCCTGTGGTATCTTATTCTAGTTTTTAAGTTTTTGTTCAATAGAAATGTATAATTGAATTTTTTCATTAAAAATCTACAATATCATTATTTATTAGCATTTAATTAAAAATGGGATACGATATTACTCGATTCGAAGGTGAAGTTGACGAAGAATTGATCTGTCCTATTTGTTCTGGTGTTTTGGAAGAGCCCTTGCATGCTCCGCAATGTGAACACGCTTTTTGTAAAAGTTGTATTAATGAATGGCTTGCAAGGCAACCGTCTTGTCCTGTAGACCGTCAACCAATTACTCCAAATGAATTGAAACCAGTGCCGCGAATTCTGCGTAATTTACTTTCCCGTTTACTTATTATGTGTGATAATGAAAAATTTGGCTGCTCTGTTATAGTGAAACTAGAGCGTCTTGAAATCCACAAGGAAGAATGTGAGCATAATCCTAAACGACCTGTTCCTTGCGAGCAAGGGTGTGGATTGGTTGTGCCAAAAGATGAATTAAGAGAGCATAATTGTGTTAGAGAAATGAGAATGCTGTTGCAAACTCAGCAACTGAGGATCAACGAAATGCAATGCAATCTGAATGAGACCAGGAAAGACATTGACTTGCTGAAAACCTGCGTGCAAGAATGCATTCGTGCAATGAGATTAGCCAATCCAAGTGTTCCGGCATTAGTAGAAACTCTCGAACAAGACGAAACTATGAGATGGATCGGTTCTCTACAGCGAGCTCGTGTAACGCGTTGGGGTGGCATGATTTCGACACCTGATTCCGTTTTGCAAACCATGGTGAGAAGAGCACTGAGTGAAAGTGGTTGTCCTCCACACCTAGCTGCGGAGTTAATGGAAAACGCTCACGAAAGAAGATGGCCTACGGGTTTGAGTACTTTAGAGACCCGTCAGTCCAATAGGAGATATTATGAGAATTATGTTTGCAAAAGAATTCCTGGTAAACAAGCTGTTGTTGTAATGGCTGTTGATAATCCCCATATGAATGATGATATGGTCTTAGATCCTGGATTAGTCATGATTTTTGCTCATGGTATTGAGTAAAACTATTGTGATGGAGACTGCTCATTATTTTTGGATGTTTTAATGTATTCTGTGTTATTTAATCTCATTTTTTTTCTGTCTTTCTTATCATTAAAGAGATATCTCGAATTGATATGTATAGTGAGTAAATTTTTCTGTGGAAAATATATCTCTTGGTCCTCTTACTTATATTGTATTTACCTACACAGCTATGTTACCTATGTGATAAAAATTTGAATAAAAGGGTTACTTGAAGTAAATTTTGTATTTTATGACTTTTTATTCTTAATTTAAATTTTAATGCAATTATAAAATATTGTCTAATAGAAACTAGAAATGTTTTATAGTTTAATAATAGGGTATGATTTTGGTATTCTTTTTTGCCGCAGTTGTGTTTAAATGTTTTTCATTCAAAAAATTTGTGAAATTCTAACTATGACTAAATTGAAATTTTCACTGAATCCTGAGAAAGTATTATTACTTTTTAAATATTACTTTCAAGATGTTTATTTTTTTAGGTGTGCAGTATTTTATTAAAAATTACATAGCATAAAAATTACCCTTTTCGCAAAGGTCGAATCATATATGCCTTTTGTACAGACTTATCTCAGGCCCGGGTATTTTCACCCAGGCATTGTTGGAGAACTAGCCTAATGCACTGCCAGTGCATCTATGCCTTTTAAGCTAAAACAATTTTTAATAACCAGTAGATAGCACTATGTATATTACATAGTTATAGTATTCTGACCTTCAGATGGTTCATATTCTGCCTGTCTGTGTTATTTTGCTCCACAACTATGGCTGGGGAGGAGGAAAATCATAATGTAAACTCTTTAGTTTTCCGCACGATTCTCATTTCTAATAACTCTCCGAAAATTTTTTTTGTTTCTACTTTTTGCTTATGTTGGGTTTTCTGAGTTTAAGCATCCGTTTTGTTGCAGTTTGTGTTGCTTTCTGATATATTTTGCACATTCCTCTTTTGTTATTTCGGAAAGCCTTACTCCAGTTTATTATGGCAAGAAAGTGTTATTTATCAGTATGATAAATGAACCAATTAGTGATACAAAAGAAAGTGATGATTCCTTTGCTAAAGAGTTAGAAAATAATATTAAAAGTTATTCTGACACAGACATTTTGTCAGAGACTGAGCTCGCTGAATACCTGCCTTCCATTTCCCGTAAAAGTTTGGCTCAAGATACTGCATCTTTGACTCGAGAGCTTGAGGAATTGCATCCTCATATTTGTATATTGTAGGAAATTTTTTATTGATTTGAAAGTATATGAATATGTTTTTCCAATTAAAACTTTGGAATAATCGAAATGCACTTTCAAAATTTTTTCTTAAAGGTAAGAATTTTTTTTCTCTATATTTTCATATAAATTGAAGAAAAAATATTATTAAAGTCTAGATTTAATTTATATGACAGATTATGTAATAATCTAAAATGGTACCAAAAATTACAGCGGTAGAACTTAATCTTCATTTTTTTTTCCTTCTAAATTTAGGCCTAGTGGTTCAAAATCCACGCCCTGTAGTATAATTCCTTTCACTTCCTCCCAAGTAAGCATCTTAAACAAAGATGCCCTGTTGCGAAAAGGTTAAGGAAATAGAATTCCACAAATATATTTGTCTAAAATGTTGAAATTTTCTAAATTCTTATTTTTAAAGAGAAATTAAAATCTCCCTTACATAAATATAAAAATTATTGTTTAAAAAATTTTTTTGAATATTTACGAACTAAGAAACACTAATAATATATTAAATTCATTTGTATTATCAATTAAATTAATTTTTCAGAAGAGGTAAACAAATTTGGTGTGGAATTTATGAATTTTCCATTTATTTCATACTGAAATCATATTTAAATTTCTTAATAATTTAGTGTTTTATTTTTTAGTTGTTCAATTAAAGTTTAATAAACTCAAAAGTGTCAAAATAAAGTCTGTAATTTTGAGACAAATTAAATTAATTATTATAATATTCATTTCAAAGTCTTCTTTCGATTTATAAAAATAAACTTTGAAGTACTCTGAGTAGAGCAATATCTTCTAACTCCTAAAAAATTGTCTCTGACTCCACTGGCTTGGTTTAAATTAAGTTTTGATTTTCTTGAAAACCTTGCATCAACATTTTTTTGATAATATGAATATTACTGTAATGTTTAAATGGTTATTATAGTGCTTGATATTGTAATTTTTTTTTTAAACAAAATCATTAATTTTGGATAACTTGGATCATTATAATAATAAGCCTCAAGTTAAAGTTATTAGGAAATCTATAAGATATTTCTGTGAACCTGATGTATTCTAATCAAAATTCCAGAAACTTATAAAATATCTATGAGGAAACCGTTTGATGAGAAAATTTGATTGTAAGATTTTTGTTTGTAAAAAAAAAATGTGGCTTATTATCTAGGTAGCTGAATCTGCTGAGTAAATCTGCTGCACTATCTTCAGAAAGCACTATCCAGAAGTTTAGTCTGCAACTTCAACATCACACTGATATTATTATTGTTAAATTTCAGATTAATCATATATATATGAAGCAAAATTGGCAAATATAAGATCCTCATCAATAAGAGCATTATGTTGTTTAAATTTGAGTTCAATTTTACACAATGATGCTACAAAAATGAAACAAATCGAGCCTCTAACTAAGTATCAAAAAGAAAATTCTTTACTTTTTGTTTTTTGTGTTATTCCCTCAATTCATCTTTTTAATTTTCGTATAAAACAAGTATCGAGAACTTTTGAAATGGTTGTCAGTAATTTTCTCTCATTTTTTCATATGCTTTTTAAAAAGAAAAATAATAAATAAGTTGCATCTCCAACTGCTGTGCTTGAAGGCTTATTACGTACCACAATTCTTTATACCAGGGGACAAAATTTCCTCTCGTCAGTGGCACCCAAATATTTAGAACTAGTGAGTAAGTCTAACTAGTGAGTATCTTAACTAGTGAGTATCTTAAAATATTCTGCTTCAAACAACCATATTTCCCTACAGTTTGTAGCAATCAAATATTAAAAATGGTGTGCAAGACCCAAACTTATACTTTCCAAAATAGTAAATTTATGCCACTCAAATGTGTTAACACCTTAGGGGGTTTCCCTCACAAAGAAAAAATTCTCGAATTTGGTAGAGAGGAGAGAACGAAACTATTCATGTAATTATATCCCAATCTCTTTAATGAGCAAATGTTGTTTTTTCAGAGTTGATTGAATTTAAGTTTACTGATATAAACTCGGATGAAGTTAACAGTGAAGAGTGTTCCACTAGTCTCCAAAATTTGCTACAGATTATAAGATTTTATACTATTTTACAGTTTCTACATCTTTATGGCTACCAAACAATTATTTTAACCATACCTATCAAAAGTTTAAATCCATTCACATCTTCATGAAAATTGTACCAAGAAATAAGTTTAGTCTGGCTGTTACAGAGTGCAAGAAATAAACGTAACCACACTCTGAATAACTTTTGATCTGCCCGTTCTAGGACTCAATCTTAATAGTTTGAGAGGGCTAATTAATTAACGTAAACGATATTTTAATTTGCGAAATCAGACACAAAAACGCAATTTCTTTGGACAAACATACCATTTTTTAGATGAATTCGGATTTTTATCTCCCAAAATGTAAGGGGGTAGCCGCAAACGGTCCGAAGTTTGGACCCCATAATGTTAATTTGACTTTTTGCATATTTCACCGTAAATCGAAAACTTTTTAAGCCAATTGAAAATGTTTTGCTCACAATTATAAAATTTGTTTATCCTATTATAAAATTTGTTTAATTATAACGTTATCCTAGGATAGTTCCATTCAAAATATAACTATTCGTAAATATTTATCTTAAATAATAGTCGAAAACATTGAATTGTGAGATCTAAAATTTTTTTGCATCATTTTAAAGAAAGCAAATTTTAAATGGCAAAATATATATTTATATTTTGGCATAGGGTGTTCAAAAATACTTTTTTCTTCTTCTTTTGTAAATAATTGTCTGTCCCTAAACCCCCCTGAAAGCTTTAAACTTTATTGCAAAGTAGAAAAAAATCGTATGATCCAAACGCTTTTAAAAGTACGATATAATCCTCTTAGTATTTCTTGCGAAATTCAAAAAAATATCGAAAACCAAAAGTGTGTTCCATTATTGTAGGGTAGTATATGTATATCCTACCCTACAGCACCTGTTCTTATTTTTATTCGATGTTTATGTATGCTGTTACTATCTATAATCTGCTATTGGAAAAAGAAAAAAAATTATATATATATATATATGNGCTTTTTCATTTACTGAAAAAAAACTTTTATTATTAAAATATTAAACACGCATGTAGTACACACAATATTATATATATAAAGAGAGAGAGAGCAAAATAAAGATTTTTAGAAACAAAATGTAACATTAAAAAAAAAAATGTAAGGAAAAAGAAAAATTTGCTAAAGAGCATTTAAATAACTTTCGAAAAAAATTAGAATTTTGAAGCTCATAAACAAATATCGCCTTTTCGACCTACCAAATTTCAATTCTGCAGTTGCATTCTTGCGGCCTGTACCATTCATATATTTTTTCCGACAAGTTTAACAGTTAATAATTCTCGAACGTATAAATTTTTTTTATTCTATAGTAATCCCTGTCAGCTATCCCTGTCATTCTATACACCTGACTTCTTGAATAGTTTCTAAGTCTTATTGTGCAGAATGACAAATTGTAACGTTAAGTTCAACACCCAAAATAGCGGCGGCGTCGACGGCCCTTAAAATTATTTATTTTATAGAGATAGATAGATGTTCATTGTTTCATTATAAACCACGTTAGTTATTTCACCATTACTATTTCGTTTTTATTGAAATCAAAATTTCAAATGCAGTAAATCGTGCTGGACATTAGAATTGGAAATACGAGACACGCTTCATTGTTGTGTGTGAGTTAGAACTTCATTTTATTTTATTTATTTTTTTAAACATTGAGTAAGAAGAATTGTAAAAATAAAATTATCAAGCATTCCGTTTTGTAAGAAAATATCTTCATAACCTTTTTCGACGAAATGTTTGCAATATGGCTCAGCTACATGACTGTTACTCTTTGGATGGGAGTAATTGGATGCGAATATAAACTGCAATTAATACAAATGGTGAGTTATTTCGTTAGAAAAAAAAATTAGAGTCGTCAATATTGGTAAATATTATTAATTATGATAAATACTGAGCATTTTTCATTATGCCTTACTTCCAATATCTATGGTTAGAATCTTTTCTCAAAATTGAAATCCAAAAATCGTAAAATTTAGGACTCATTAATTAATATTGAAACATGGAAAAAACGAAAATGCTATCAACTATGAGAAATGCTTCACTGTTGTGTGTGAGTTAGAACTTTATTTTATTTTAATATTGTAAAAGAAGAATTGTAAAAATGACATCATCCAGTAGTCCGTTTCGTAGGAAAATACCTTCATAACCTTTTTCGACGAAATGCTAGCAATATGGCTCAGCTACATGATTGCTACTCTTTCTATGGGAGTAATAGGTTGCGAATATAAACTGCAATCAATACAAATGGTGAGTTATTTCGTTGGAAATAAATTAGAATCGTTAATTTTCGATAAATATTATTAATTATCATAACTAGTTTGTTTTGTTATGCCTTATTTCCAATATCTATTTTTAGAATTTCTCAAAATTGAAGTCCAATAAACGCATAATTTAGGGGTCATTAATTAATATTGAAACGAGGAATAAACGAAAATGCTATGAAAATCTGTCGATATACTAATATGGAAAGTGGAATAAAAAAATTTCGAAATCCAGACTATTGTCTGATTAAACTTGGTGGTGTCTGTAATAATATCTTTAAAATTCCTCTCCGGCAATCCAACAGGTTTTAATGTTTTCATCGTCCTCTCGCAAATGATTCATTAAAGAGTCGCGATGGCTTAGGAGATAGAGCGCCCGTCTCCCAATGAGGTATCCCAGATTCGAATCTCGTTGGTGGTATTGGTAGAATTGGTGGAATTCGAATCTCCCAGATTCGAATTCCACCAATTCTACCGGGCTCGCAGCGACCATAGTGCTGATGTAAAATATCCTCAGTGGTAGAAGGATCAAGGTTTAGAATCCCTTTGCCGTTAGGCTATCCGTGGGAGATTTTCTTGGTTTTCCTCTTCATGTAACGCAAATGTCGGTTAGTTCCATTAAAAAGTCATCCACGAGGACTAGTTTGTTCAATGCTTGATCCAGGAGTTACCTTGTCTTCTGGTTGAGTTCAAGTTACTGGGCTACGGAGTTAGACATTGATATTTTTAAATTCGGAATTGGGTCGGCTGTTATAAAAAAAATGATGACTCAGGTTTTTTTTTTCAATTCAATAGCGTTTTCTTTTTAAAAAAAAATTAAATGAACTCGATTATAATATTCAAAAACTTTTAATGAAATTAGGTTTTTCTAAAAATATTACCTTTCAGAATCTTGTGATATAAATTGTTAACCTAAATCTGCCGTGCAATAGAAAAATCAACGTAAGCTAGCAACAAAGGATTCAAAATTGAGATTTTTATATATTTGGCACTATTGTATAATAAGCTATAAAATGCCAAAACATTCAAAAATTGGAATTTTTAAATAGTTTTCCTGAAATTATATTTTAGCGTTGAATGCATTATCTATCAAAAGAAAGAAAATACTTATCAAATCATAATTTACATTCCAGTAATGACTTTACTTACTTACCGTTTTTTTAAAAATCATTAGGAAGCTCCACTCACCAACTCTCGTGGTTGCACGTTATTCATAATAGTTTTTCCTCTTTAAAAGTCAATAAAAGAAGATTATTTTTTTTATAAAATGTATAATTACTATAATTTTATGTAAGCAAATTTTACTAATACGTAAAATGTAACGAAATGAGAGAATATCTGGATTTGAAAAATAATCAACTGTACTTGAAAAAAGAATTAAACTTAAGAATACAGTATGTGCAACACAATAAAAAATAAATGAAAAGTTATTTCAGTTGTTAACAATCGAAACGATTGTCTGATATCGTGTGCATTGGTGGAAAGGGGGGGGGGACAGCTTTTATATCTCTTCACTCTTTTTTTAAAAAGTTTCAGTTCTTCGATAACATCAAGTTACGAATGCACGAGTTCATAAAATTAAAATCGCAAAAGAGATTCATTTTTCTACAACCCTAGGTAAATAATTATTAGTATTTAAAAATAAAAAATGCTAAAATGCTCTTGAAATTGCAATAACTTTCGGGGAAAAAAAAAGAATTTCGGAAACAACTGTCGTTAATTTTATAATTCAAAATTGAGCTATCAGCACGTCAATTTTTACTCAGTAGTTGCATTTTAGCTGACAGAAGATCAAACCATGGCCAGCGCTAAGCTTTCGCCGCCTCATCAAATGCGATGAAATCGTACATTTGGCGAATAAAATTGTGTTCTGGCAAAAGTATTGGCGTATAATATTTTCCACAGGAAAATAAAAATATGTTAACTCTATCCTCAAAATTACGCCAAAAAACTTTTATTCGAAACTAATCAGTATATTTTTATTTGATTACAATAATTTTCGGTAGAAGCGCCGCCTAACCAATTAGAATTGGATAAAAAAATATAAGTCAGAAACAGACTATCGTAAAATAGTTTTCCATGGGAAAAAAATTAATCCTAAAAAATTGTTAAGATTAGCATTTGGTGAAGACTTTCATAAAATTAGCGAATACTTGTGATGTTTGGCTAATTTATTGGCTAATAACTTGACATCCTTAGCGCGGGCCCTGTCAATCAACGCATTTTTTTTTACTACAAGTTTAACAGTTAATAATTCCGGAGCTAAAAATCGATTTTTTTCCCCCATTCTATCTAACTCCTTGTACGTTTTTCTATTTACCTTCGTAATTTCAAGTTTCTAAGTCTTGCAGATTTTGAGCAACAAAACTAAATGTAACGTAAAACAAAAAATTAAAATAATAATAAAAATTTTCCAAAGAAGCACCTAAAATTGCAATAATTTTCAAACAAATTAAAATTTCGAAAAAGAAAAGCGTGAAGTTAATTTTATATATAAGGTAGGTGGGTACTTTATATTTACTTTGCAATAGAGCTGCACATTGAGCTCGTAAAGAGAAACATCCCTGAGGATGATCCGAAGTCGAGCACTTTACGGTAGAACAATTTAACGAGGACCGATACCGCGCATTCACGGTCCCTCCTCAGGCTGATCCAAGTGGTCACCCAAACACTTACTGATTGCAGCGAGTGATATTTGACTTCGGTTTTCCACTGAGAACCGATTCCTTACGATCAGCCCATAGTAGGACGATTCCATGTAAAAAAAAGTGGAACTTTTGCCAAATTTCAACTCCGTAGTTGCATTCTTGCCGCCTGTAGAGCGGTCCATTAGGTATTTTCCCCCGACAAGTTAAATAAATCGTTCACGAACCAAAGAAAATAAAAAGAGAAGCAGTTCAGCTCTGCGAGTACGTAACTAACTCGGGGAACTGTTCGGTGTGGTATGCTATGCTAGAAAAACAACTTATAGTGTGAGCAACATACTCAAATTTAGCAGAGTATTTAGCAGCTCATGCGAATACGAAACAAAATAACTCTTATGAACCGGTTGTCTGACAACTCTACGTCTATGATTGGGTACATCGAACTCCTGCCTTTTTATTCTTTCTTTCCAAGTCAAAATGTGTTGACAAAATGTGGTTGATAAAAATGTATTCGCAAAGAAATATCAGAATTAATAGTACAGGGCTGTTCATCAAGAGTGTAATATAAACAGTACAAACCAATAACAAATAAAAAAGAAGAGACTTTTATTCTCCTCCCCTAACCCCAGTAGTTGTTGGGAGGAGAGGAGGGATCAAAGCCGCTTCAAGATAGTCTGATGCTAAATATCCTTCCTTCCTTTAAACATAGGGACCACAACAAATCTTGAAGAACTAAACTGCTGTTTGTAGAAAATGCAACACCATGAAAGAATCATCAGAATCAAATGAAATTTAATGCAGAAACGACTTGTACTGATACAAATAAATGATGAAATTTTCAAAACAAAAGAAACAAATTAAGCGTCCGAAATCAGTATTTGGTGCAGCCACCACGCGCTGCAATAAGTGCTGCTATACGACGTGGCATGGAGTCAAACAGATGTTGAATATCTGCTTGAGGAAGAGAATTCCATATCGCTTGTATGCGCAACCAAAGTTCGTCTTTGGAAACTGCAGGACGCGGATCACGAGTGAGACGCCGACCAACCATATCCCACACGTGCTCAATAGGCGACATATCCGGCGAATAAGCAGGCCAAGGAAGAAGTTGCATGCGTTGTGCTGAACAGAAGTCTCTAACAGTCCGCGCAACATGTGGGCGTGCATTATCCTGCTGAAAGATAGCTCCAGGGATGCCTTGAAGGAAAGGAACGACTTCGGGCTGTAGCACTTCACGGACGTATCTGTTGCTATTGAGATTACCCTCAATTCGTATCAAATTGGATCGTCCATGATACGAAATCGCACCCCAGACCATAACTCCGGGTGTTCGACCACTATGTCGTTCAATAATACACTCAGGAAGGCAGCGTTGACCGGCATAACGTCTAACACGAACACGGCCATCATGGGTCCACAAATTGAAGCGTGATTCATCTGAAAAGACAACTTGGTGCCAATCAGCTCGCCAGTCTCTGTGCTCAAGAGCCCACTGCCGACGCAGCCGTCGATGATCCGCCGTGAGGGGAATCCTGTATAATGGCACCCTTGCACGCAATCCACGGCGCAGCAGACGACGACGAATTGACGAAGCCGACAATTGTACACCTGTAGCAGTAGACCAATGTGCTGCCAGCTGCCTGGAGGAAGCTGTGCGATCATTCACCGCCATGCGGAGCAGGTGTCGATCATCGCGCTCTGACGTCACCTTCTGTCGTCCAGTGCCTGTTTTTCGAGTTGTTCGGTGCTCGTCGGTCCACTGCTTCCAAACTCGCATCACTGTGGAACTGTTCCGCTGCATACGAGCTGCTATTGCGCGATAGGAAAATCCTCCTTCTCGAAGGCCGATTATCCTCCCTCGTTCAAACTCCGTAAGTTGCTTGAATTTCTTATTCTTCCGTCGTGGAGGCATACTCAGGTCTCACTAAACGTTTGCCACTAACAAATAATCATAGACTATTTTCAACGTCCCGCTACAGCACTTTATTTATACGCTTTCAGCATCAATTCAGAGGGCGCTGCGCGCGCCACGCACGCGCGATGGCTCTGAAACTTTATTAATTTGCATAATATCCTATATCCATTATTAAAATAATATTTCATTTGATTCTGATGATTCCTTCATGGTGTTGCATTTTCTACAAACAGCAGTTTAGTTTCGATTATGTGTATGGAAGCTAGCCTTCTTCCCCTATGTATATTCTTTGATCGAATTAACTATCGAATGTTATATTTTTTTTTCGTTCTTTCTTAATTCCTGTACACTTTTCTACACACCGTACTAATTTCAAGTTTCGAAATCTTATAGTTTTCGCCTAGCAAACCAAAATGCAAACCGAAAAAAAAATAAACGGACCACCCAGAATAACTTCTTATTTAATAATCGGATCTTCACTTTCTAGGACTTAATCTTAATGATATAAGGGGTGACTTCAAATATGCTTATTACTCAGTGTGGACGATATTTTACGTTACGAAATCAGACAAAAAAAAAAAAACGTACTTTCTCTGAATAAACATATTTTTTTTCGACGGATTCGGATATCTGACTCCCAAAATAAAGGGGGTAGCCGAAATCTAGGAAATATGGTCCACATAGTTTGGTCAGGAGAAAGATCCAAAGTTTGGAAACCCTATTGTTAATTTTGCTTTTTGAGTATTGGACCATATCTCGAGAACTTTTTAAGCGAATTGAAAAATCTTTGCACCCAATTATTAAATTAGTTTGTGGAAAGATAAATCTATGCAAGAGAGAAATTTTAGTAAATATTTACTATTTTTTTTTATCATTTTCTTTAGCAATAGCCGAAAAATTTTGAGTTGTAAGGTATGCAATTTTTTACATCATTTTAAAGTCTAATTTTACAGAGCAAAATGCAAAATTGTTTTTTATAAGTCGTATTTTTAAAATTTGATTCCTCAGAAACTATTTCACGATTTTGCCCATATTTTATACTTTGATATGCAAAAATTACGCACTTTAAAATCGTGTAAAGAATTTTGCATCTTACAATTCAAAATTTTTTTGACATTTATTAAATAAAATAATAAAAAATAACAAATACTTACTAAAATTTATTTTTTTTGCATGGAATTATCTTTAAATAAACGAATTTTATAATTTTGTGCGAAACTTTTTCTGTTTACTTAAGTTCTCGAGGTATGGTGAAATACGCAAAAAGTTAAATTAACATTATAGCGTCCAAATTTCGGATCGCGCTCCTGACCGAATTATGGGGATCATATTTCCCAGATTACGACTACCCCCTATGCCCCTATATTTTGGTGGTCAGAAATCCGAATCAGTTTTCTAAAAAAAGGGTATGTTTTTTTCATAAAGAAAACTGATAACTGAACATAAAAAACGGAGAAAATATGTTTTTAGGTCTAATTTCGTGAAAATTGCATTCAAAAATTTTTCGACTTTTTTTAAATAAAATAATTTATTATTTACTAAAAGTTTTTGCACGAAAATATCTTTGGATAAACGAATTTTTTAATCGTCTGCAAAAACTTTTCATGTTTCCCAGGTTGCGACTACCACCCATATTTTGGGTGTCCGAATCTGCCGGAAAAAAGGTATGTTTATTCAGAGAAAGTACGTTTTTGTTATCGTCTGCACTTATTAATTAGCATACGTGAAATCACCCCCTCAAACCATTAAGATGGAGTCTTAGAGCGTAAAAATCCGATCATTAAATCAAAAGTTATTTAGGATGGTCCGTTTCTTTTTCTTTTGTTTTTAATTAATTTATTTTGTTATTTTTGTGCACTGTGCATCCTAAAAGAGCAGCGCGACTTGCCTTACAATTTTTTAATATCTAGAGAAAATTCAACACTCATAATTCATATTTTAAAAATACAATTAAAACTTATATTATCACAATCACGATAAAAAAAATTTCCCCTTGATTACTTTATTGTTAAACTAAATGTTCAATCTGCTAATAATTAAATTGACTCTTTCAGATTTATCGACATGGGGACCGAGCTCCTATTTTTCAATATCCAAATGATCCGAATCCAATAACTGTGTGGAAGGCCGGTCTGGGTAATCTGACTTTGGTAAGCCATTTACTTTTTTCGGTGATGTTTGATTTTTTTCAAAGTATAATAAGCTGTTGTATATTTGTCTAGATGTTGCCGTGTATGACCGACGTCAATTTTTACCGGTGAATGTCAACAATCACATAGTCGCTTTGGTAAATGTCCGAAATATTGGCTACATCCGATTTGCTACTAATTTATTCGCTGATATTATTATATTTATTCGATATTTTAATATCTGCTGAAGATAGATTAGGAGAAACTTAAGTGTTCGGAGTACCGGTTAAATGCATACAGGGCAGTGGCAATTGACATTGAAAAAACTCTCCTGTAAGGATTACCGGGCAATAGCGCTGAACCTTTAAAAATTTTTGACGTAGGGCATACCGGGCAAAATTAGATTAGATTATTTATTAGACTTAGTATATATTTCGGACATTTACCAAAGCGACTATGTGATTGTCGACATTCACCGTTGGAAGTCAACAACCATCAATTTCTGCCATTCACGGTAACATAGAAATCTGTTTTAGCAAGTCCGAAAGTCCTTGTTGTTAGGTGTTTAAATCTTCGTGTTAAATAAATAAGTTTTTTTAAAAATTTTATTATGTTTTTATTGAAAAAAAGTTAATGTTTTTTAAGTATCATATTACTTATGATTAAAGCCCGGATTTTGATGACCTAAAAAATCTCAATTAATGCCCTTAAATAGTGCGAAAAATGCACTTAAAAATTGCGCTGAAAAGGCCTCATGACATGACTTTAAAGTAAAAATATTGAACTAAAACAATGTTTTACTCTTTAAAATTATTATGAGTCATTTAAAAAAATATAAAGCAATGCAATACTTGTTCAATAAAGTTTGAAAAATATGTTTATATCCTAAAATAACAAAAAAAAGGAAAATATATTGACTCCAAAACATTTTCATTTTCTATAAAAACTTTAATGAATATAACAACTTCCATCTCATAATATTGCTAAATATCAGAATTACTTTGGATTATTAAATTTTCTTTGATATTTTGAAATGTAAACGAGCGAAAATAAATTTTTGTGTGAAAGTAAATTTTTATTCTTGTGTGAAAGTAAATTTTTATACCTGGAAAAGCTTCTTTCAACGTCTACTGATGTTATTGGTGCGTACTTGAAAAAGACGGTCTCACTTACTGACAATTATTCTTCAATTTGAAAAGATGTTGCTTCACCTGTTAATATCCTAGACATTTTCTTCATTGTTTGGAAGCCAGTGTAATAATAAAAAATTATAACAAAATAATAAAAATTGGAAAAAAATTTTAAAAAAAATTAAAAAAATTCTTTAAAATACAAAATACGCCGAAAAATTTAAAGAAAAATGCCCTATAAATCTAAAAAAATGCTCTAAAGGACAAAGAATGTCCAAAAATGCAAAAAATGCAAAAGTCATCAAAATCCTTGCCTTACTTATGATCTTCTATTATTTTGGCTCCTAGTGTCAGGATTTGATTTTTATGTTCTACGAAACTTAGCAGTATAAGCTTAATGATTAATTTATGCGCTAATTTTAATCAACAATATTTTATGTAAAACATAATTTTAATTAAATTAAATATTTTTTTGTATTTTATTATTTTAATTCAAATCAATAGAATGGAAAATCTATAATGTTAATTTAAAAAAGTTACTTTTTAAAGCATTAATTGTTTTCCGCTTAATTTATAAAATAGTTTACCCTTTTTCCAACAAATTTGAAAAAGTTTAATTTTTAAAATAATAATTTGCATATAAATTTTCTTTGACTTGAAAATTAATGTAAGAAACTGCAAATGATGAGAAAATAAATCTTACTAACTATTACAGAAATTCTGTGTTAGCGAAATCATGGACCAGCGAAGTTTTGTACCCGTGGAGTTACGTATCGGCAAACTTTTATTCACGCAAAATTATGTTTTGGATCCGCTAAGATTTGACTGCGAAGTTTTGACATCCACCCTTGTAAAATAAAATAATAGTTTTGAAAGATAATCACGCATATATTAACCACTGAAATTTCATATATGAGCGAACCATAATTCTTTGTATCATATAAAGGGTTCATAGTATTTTGTCGATGGAGACACTATTCCACAAATGTCATTTTTATCTCAAACTATTCCTAAGTATTGTTCCCAGGTGGTTACTTTAAAACTTAATCAGTACTTTACAAAGGGAATCATTTCATGCAATTATCAAATTTTCTGTTTGGCACTATATTGTTTCAAAATCAGTAACTTGTTTTTGTTTGTTTTAGCTGGGCAAAAGACAGCATTGGAGTTTAGGACTGTTATTCAGATCACACTACAATAATTTTATTACTACGAGTCCCACAGAGGTAGTTGTTCAGATTACTATTACTAATAAATCAATTTAATTCTTTTATAGAAGTGTATGTGGTGGTGTGTCAAGGGGAGTTAAATTTCTGAAATATAAATCCTAACTTTCATTGCTTTTTCATACTACTTTAAGTACAGTGTGCAAATTAAAAAACGGACCACCTTGAATAACTTTTCATCTAATGATCTGATTTTCACGTTCTTGGACTCAATCTTAATGGTGCAAGGGGATAATCGCAAATATGGTAATTAATTAGTGCTGACGATATCTTAAGTTACGGAATCTGATACAAAAACGTACTTTCGCTGAATAAACATACCTTTTTTTCGTCAGAGTTCTGATACCCAAAATATAGGAGATAGTCGCTATCTGGAAAACATGGTTCTAATAATTTAGTTAAGAGAGCTGTCCAAAGTTCGAACCTCTTAATGTTAATTTTACTTTTTGCGTATTCCACCATATCTCGAGAAATTCTTTGGAGAATTGAAAAGTTTTTGCACACAACTATAAAATTCGTTTATCCAAAGATAATTGCATGCAAAATATAACTTTTAATAAATATTTATTATTTTATTTAATAATAATCGAATTTTGAATGCAATTTTTTGTATCATTTTAAAGGCAAATCTATATGGCAAAATACGACATTGGAGTGAAATTGGTTGAATAGTTTCTGAAAAATCAATTTTCGAAAGAGTCATACTTCTAAAATTCGGTTTCTCAGGAACTATTCGACCGATTTTGCTCAAATTTTGAATTTTGCCACCAAAATCAGAATTTTTTGAAATGATGTAAAAAATTGTATACATTACTATTCGAAAGTTTTTCTACAATTATTAAATAAAATTATAAAAAACTAGCAAATGTTTACTAAAAGTTATTTTTTACATAGATTTATTTTTAGATAAATAAATTTCATAATTGTATGAAAATTTTTCAATTCGTTTAAAAAGTTAAATTTGCCTTAAGAATTATGATGAAGTAACTAATATTTAGTAAAATTAATATTTAGGGACTTAAACTTGGGACTGCTCTTTTTACCAAACTATTGAGAACTTACTTCCCTTGCGGCTACCCGCCTATATTTTGAGGGTCAGAAATCCCAATCCGTCGAAAAAAGGCCTGTTTATTCAGAGAAAAGTACGTTTTTGTGTCTGATTTCGTTCTGAATATTGTCAGCACTAATTAATTAGCATATTTGAGGTCTACCCCTTCGAATCTTTAAGATTGAGTCCTAGAACGCGAAGATCCGATCATGAGATCATAAGCTATTCAGAATGGTTCATTTTTTTATTTCGCACACTGTAGAAAATAAAAATATTTCGATGAAATCAAAGCATTTAGGAAATTTCTGAAAATGTAAAACACCGGTTATTATTAAGAATACCCGGTTATTGATAATAATAACCAAATAAGCCGGTTTAAGTGAATGAGGTTAAAATTTATAAGCACAAATGAGTCAATCAAAAGAAAAATTTAAAAAATGGTTAATAAAAATCGAAGAAGCAAATTTTGTTTTTAATGATCTTTATCACCAAAATAGATCAGTAAATTAAAGGAAATGTTAAAACTGACCAACTTAATTTCTAAAATTCACATTAAATTAAAACTTTTAAATTTTCTGAAAAAACTTATGAAACATTTGCCAACATTTTTTTAATTTTTTCTTTGTTGTGGGTACACAGCAAAAAGAATGTTTTGATTTTTTCTTAGAATCTAAAAAGAATTTATAGAATGATTCACAAAAAAAATCTGGTTTTTTTTCCACCCCTGAGAAATTATGAGACTAACTTGTGCGTAATATAATTTTGATGAACAGTTTTTGTCGATATCACTGCTTTTTATTTACATATATTATTTAAAAACTTAAAATCGTGTGCTTTTAATATTGTAAACAGAATTTTTTTTCGAACCTAAACTACGATACCTTGAAATTGCAATAAAATATTTTATCGCTAAGCCCATACATTACTGTGAAACAAAAGAAAATTGATGGTCGCTTGCATCCTTTCTTTTTTTCCCCTGACTTTTATTGATTTTCCGTGAACATACTCTTTACACATTTTGGAAGAAGAAGAAAAATTGAAGCCAACAATGAAAATATACATTTAACGCTTTCATAAGTTCTAAGAAAAATGAAGTTTCATCACAAATTAATATTAAAAAATAATGCAAATAAAATAATTCTAACAATGTTTCTCATTATAGTTTTATTTTATCTGCTATGTTTGGCTACTGATGATCATGATAGAGTCTCCATTTTTTTGTAAGTGAGGATTTAAACATTAGACCATTTTTCCAACTAAAAATTGTTGCATAGCTGCAATTAGCTGCATAGCTATTTTGTAACCGTCGTTGAACAGCTGACCCCATATTTTGGGCCTACGACTACTAATGATCATCTTCGTAGCCGAATTCATAACCCGTTATTCAATTTTAGTTTAGACCGAATCCAGCAGACAATTGAAATCCTGGATCAAGTATTGGGAGACATTTGTCTTCGCGGAGGACTTTTTGATGGAACTAGCCCGCATTTGCGCGATATTTAGAGGAAAACCACGAAAATTTCCCATGGTTTGCCTGACGACAAGGAAATTTTAACCAATGATCCATCTATTACTGAGGATATTTTACGGCTGCACTGCGGTCGGTGCGAGCCGTGTACGGAATTCGTATCGCCCAGCCATCGCTGAGATTCGAATCCGGTTCGCATCATGGGAAAGCGAACACTCTATCCCCTGAGCCCCCAAGGCTCACTGCCATTATTTTATAACCGTCATTGAACAGCCGACCCAATTTTTGGATTTACAACTACTAATGTTCAACTTCGTAGCCTTGTAATTTTGAACCCAACTCAGAAGACAAAGGAACTCCTGGATCAAGTATATGGAGACATTTGCTTCCATGAAGAACTTTTTGATAAAACTAACCCGGATTTGCGCTCCATGGAGAAGAAAACCACGAAACCCTCCCACGATTAGCTTGACGGTAAGGGGACTTTAACCCATGACCCGTCTACCACTGAGGATATTTTTACATCAGTACAGTGGTCGGTGCAAGCCGGATGCGGAATTCGTATCGAATAGCCATCACCGGGATCGAACCCGGTTCACCTTATTGAAAGGCGAACGCTCTATCCCCTGAACCATCACGGCTTGCATTTTTGCGCCGCTGATTTCACATATGCGATCAGTTTCTCTCTACAACCTACAATTCACTGATATGTTCCTAAAAAGAATTTCTTATCACTCCAGTGAGTAATTATAGCATACCCACTTCTTTGCTGCGGAAGGGGGTGGTAGAAAGAAGACGATAATATATTTAAATTTATGATGCGATATGTTAAGGTTAGAGGTTGTTTGCCTTAAGTTGGATTTTCAAAGGTGCAGCTGAGTGTATATGAATGTATATCTATACGTTCTTCATAAACTATGTTCAGACAAAAAATAAATGAAACTAAAAATACCATTTAAAAAGACCCACGACTTTCCGATCAAAACTAATTTGACACTTGAAATCTGCTGACTTGAATTAGTCAAGATTTAAGAAATTGAATAAATGCAACAAAAAATGTATTCCCAAATCTAATTGTAAGTAAGAATTATTCTTAAATTTCATTAACAGCTGAAAATCACATAAGATAATTACCAAGCTTTTAATTTAAATGTTTAATAATCTACTGTATGACAGAGAAGTCAACTTGCCCAGCTTTTTTGGGGGGAAATTTCTTAGTGGTGGTTACATTCATACTTTAGTACATTCAATTTGAAGTTATTTTTTCCACGGCTACATGAAAATAGTTCGTAAGTTCATATAAAACGGCCCCTTGTTCCTGTAATATTGGGGTGAGACTTTTAAAATGTAGCCAAGTCAACTTCAACAAAATCTATCTTTTGTTACCGCAATAAAAATTAACTTTTTCGGGAAAAGTTAAGTTAATAAACAAATAAATGTTAATAATTATGAGGCAGACAAAACACAATTTCACAAAATTGATGGTAGAAAGCCTGCATTTGTATTCTATTCCTTCATTTGCATTTGTATTCATTTCAGACCAATTGCACCACACCATGTGTGCATTTTGGGTCCCACTTCTTTTTCTAGCCAATTAAGATTGGAAAGTTGAAGGTTTAATTTTTCAGGGAAACAAAAAATTTGAGCCCATCGCATATTGATAAGATAATACCACCTTCAAAATTTTAAATCATAGGATTGCAAACTTTTAAAAATTAAAGCGACATCTAACGCTACAAATTATCCACATAATTTAAACATAGGTATCCTACCACTTTTATCATAAGTAGTAGTAGCTTATTTACGTCACACTAGAGCTACACAATGGGCTATTGGCGACAGTCTGGGAAATATCCCTGAGGATGGTCCTGAGATATGCCATCACAATTTGGATCCTCTGCGGAAGGAATGTCAACCCCTTTTTGGTAGACCGACCTGCTCGCGAAGTCGAGTACTTTACGGTAGAACAGTTTAACGAAGATCGATACCGTCCACCCTCGGTCGCATCAAAATGGTCAGCCACTTGCACACTGACCGAAGCTAGTGATGCTTGACTTCGGTAACCTACTGGGAACCGTATCTTAATGATCAGTCTACTGCGGGAACTTATAAAGGCACTTTTTACGCCAATACAAAGAGGTAAATCTACCCCTTTTCGCCAAGGAATGAGTAAAGAATAAAATAGTGATTTTAACCTAATGGATAGGGTATACTTTGTGGTTTAGTCTAAACTTTGTATTGACTAAAGTTAAAATTAACGTTAATAAAGCACTTTATTTTATTTGAGCGTTATACTAAGTTCAAAGAAACTTGTATTTGCTAACTGTTACTTTTTGTACACCTAAAACTAGTTTTAACTTAAGGCTTGCTTTATTACACATTTTTCTATATAACATAAGAACGAAAGAAAGAAATGGTCTGATGCAGTTTTACAATGTTTTTGGTGAATTTTTATTGGGCGGAAAATCACATAAATCCCGTTTA